TTTTTCAAGTTTTTCGTAGTGGTCTGTACCGAACCTAAAATGGTTCAGAGAATTGCAACGAATTCGAAACCTTTTTAGGTTCCGTACGATGTACGAAACCCTTTTTTCGTTCAAAGTACTTTTTTTGGTTCGGTATGGTACCATTTTTTTTTTCAGTGTATGATAATATTTAAATATCTGCTCCCAGGCAAAGTGACTGTTACAGAGCACAAAGTGATGATGATGTCAGACATTGACGAAAAATGAAAACGATTTCTAGAGATTATTGTTCATTATGGGTATTTGACGTCTCGAGAAACATTTTTTATGCGTAGAAAGCGCCTCACCAAGACTAACATATAGTAAGTCCTCTGGTTTCTAATACGTCTTTTATATTCCCTAGACTGAAAGGATAGGGCCTACAAACGGAAATTCACCTGTGTCTGTCTGTAACACTTGGTACAAATGACCATTTTTGTGGTACAAAGTACTACTTTGGTGGTACAGGCGACCATTTATTTGACACAATTGGCCATTTTCATTATATAAATGACCGTTTCTGTGGTTCAGTTCGCCATTTCCACGGCACAATCAACAATTTTTATGGCACAGTTGACCATTCTTATGGCTCAAATGAGCATGTCTGTATCACAATTGGCCATTCCCGTATTAGAAACGGTCATTACTTTGGCATAGATAACAATTTTTAGTCGTTATAATTAACTAAAGCATAAACTTTATCATATACATTAGCATCTTTCAATATTTTATCTAAAGTATTTGTATATATCTATAGTATGTAATATAGAACATGTTACAAATATTAATAATTTCTCCTAAACTCATCAATATACAGAATTCAATTTTATTTAAAAATATAAGGACATCATTGTCATCATTCCGTCAGTCTAGGGTCAAGTGAATCGACATTCAATGCCGATGAACCTTACTTGTCGATTATTCTAGAGGTAGCTTTCATTATTGAGTGTTTTCTATTGCGGGAAGTGCTCTACATTCGTTCCAGAAAAGTTTGTAATTATCTTGTTTTTAAGGGTGTGAGTGTGGGTGTTTATCCCTATGAATGATCAAGCACACCCACACCAACACCCTAACTTATTATTCTTAGAAATTATTTAAAATTCATTATAATTTAAAATTATGAAAATTTATTATTGATATAATTTACTATTACTGCTAAAAATTATTTGAAATTCATAATGATCTAAAATTATTTATTATTAGAGGTTCCCATTTATTATTTCAAATTATTTACAATTCATTATCATTATTTGCCAAAAAAATATTTGAAATTCATTATTATTTGAAAATATTTAGAACTTACCGTTATTATTTAAAATTTATTTAAAGTCCTTTATTATTTCAAATTAATTGAAAATTAGTATTATTATTATTAAGAATCATTGCCTCAGATTATTATTACTATTTGAAAATTTATTATCGTTTAATACTACATTGTCACTTTTTGTGCCATAATTTTCGATCAAACTCACAGAACAATTAATCTTTATTGTAACTGTCAATCGTCCTTTAATTAGACTACAGAAAATTGGTTTTTATTATTAGTTATAATTGTTTTTCAGCTATGTCTTAGGCTTACTTCAGCAATATGCCTTTTCCCCACTTCAATTTTATTTCTACCTTTTTCAATTCGTTTTTATGTATCAATCTATTTTGCCCCCTTCAAAATTCTTTTTGATTAAGTTTTAACGCTTTATTTTCAATTTCATATTAACTTTCTTGTTCTAAAATCTAATTTACATTTTTTCTCTCAATTTCATTTAAATTTTATTTTTTCATTATTTTTACTTTTATCTTTATTTTTATGTTTCGCTAAAAATTGTAATGCAGAGCCCTGATGAGTGTTTCATTATTTCAATAAATAACACGAAACGTGTCGGCGAAATTAACTCTTCATTATTTTATTATTTTAATTTAAGCTGATTTGTTTATTATAATTCAATTGTTTGACCTAATCGATTGCTGAAAAAGCAAGAGTTGAGAATAGCAGACTGATGTTATGATACGCATATAAGTCGATCAGTTTTTCATTGAGTCAGCAACATCGAAATACCAACAGTCTTATGGTAGCTATACACACCTACTTTGAGGTGATTCTACTACTTCATCTATAGCAGAATTTAGTATTATGTATTGATTCGAATTTATTTGGATCTCTTATACTGATACTTGTGCCACTTGATAAGATTTAACTCAGCCAGATCGAAATACCAAAGGTATTGTGGTAGCTTTATCACACCCACACCCATCCACATCCTCCGAAAAAATTTCATGATAAAGTTTCCATTTTTTTTGTTATGAAATAGTTTTCAAAAGAAAATATGTCTAGTCAGTAGTACTCCAACGTCGCATAGGTTGTAGAGTATCGTCATGATCAACTTCCTCTCCTTCATTCTGTCTGTAGTCAATAATAAAATCATCGGTTGCTTGTGTGTCATTTCCTGTTATGCGTTCTTCGAGTTGCGACTGATACATCATAGCAGTTTCTTGATCATTTTTATGTACAAAATAAATTGCAATTATTTTCTCAAGTAATTCAACAATTTTCTCGGAGTTTTTTTCTGGACTATCTTTTCGATAGAGTTCCAATAATTTTTTCGAAAGACATAACTCTTCATCATACATGTCGAATTGATTGTAATAACTAGTTAATTCTTCAGCGGCTATACTAATACGTTGGTTATTGATGTCATAACATTTTAACATACAGTCAAGTTACAATTCTAAATATTTTATAATCATGGATTGAATTTCTTTCATCTCGTCTTCATTGGTATGGTTATCTGTCTCTATTGCAGATATAAGTAACTTTTTTCCATACATCTCATGTAGATATTCATAGATGTGGATCTCTTCAGAACTTGTTAGACCTTTCTTGATTGCAATTTGATAGTGCTTGATTGACAGATCAAATTTTTCTCTAGCCTTGCCAGTGTGTTTTATATGAAAATAATAGATACTACCAATATCATAGTAAATTCGACCAATAGCAATGTTAACATTTAATTCTTCATCATCTTGATATTCAAACCAATATTTTAATGCCTCATCCCAGTTTGGTAACGCAAGAGTATAATTGAAATCACGATCGATGTTATACTGTGCTAAACAAGACATTTTTACTGCTAAAATCCACTTTTCTCTTGGAAACAATTCCATTAAGTGATTGAATACAGTCTCTATAAGAGAAGCTGTTGCACTACAAAAATCTGTTAGTGTTTCCATCAATAAATCAATATAATATCTCATTTTTCTTCTCTCACCAAATCCTTCAAGCATTCGATCGTCTTCTTTTTCAATCGTGTCTGAGACGAGTTCTAATTTAGCAAGCCAAATTTTTCTCTCGACATTATAATAAATACTATTCTCCGTCATTTTGAATTCTAGACCTGGCATCAATAGAGTTTCGGATTCACTTGGAAACCAACTTATTGTCGAGATATCGGCGTAGGGAAACGATTTTTCAGCTAGATTCAATTCAATTTCGAAGAGAATACTTTGTAATTCATCGTCTGGCATTGATGTACCAAGATAGATTTCTGACATAGCTGGATCAAAAGTTGTAGACATAAAACTACTAGTCACAATGTTATCAATCGAGTCTTTTAATTTTTCAATTTCCGTCTTTGACATTATTTGTCCACGATATACGGTAACTTTCGAATTTTTCAATTGTTTTCGAAGAAATTTTTCATGTTCGTGTTTTAGCTGTTGATACAAATCTCGAAGAAAGAAGCCAAATAGAAACATAAATTGAATATTTTTTTGTCTCAGAACACGATTTACCATACGATATAGAAATGTATCTTTTGTATACTCTTGAATTGGATTCCTATTTGTTGTAGATAAATAACTTAGCAACAATTGATCTATATGTCGTAGTTCTGATGGATTTGTCGAGTAATATTTTCTCATTATTGTGACAAATCGTTGGAAACAATCTTCTGGATATGGTAAATGAACAATAATATAAACGAGTTTTGGCCACCAAGATTCAATATTATCTGTAGTATTTTCTTGCTCAGTATTACTATTAGTCAGATCGAAAATATTTTGGTTTTCATGATCTTTTGAATACTGGTGAACGTCTTGTAATAGTGATTTTAACAGTGGTTGAAGAGCAACATGAATTTTTATCTAGTGAAATTGAAACAAAAATGTAAAAATGATCTATTTACATCAGAGATGGTTTAAATCTTTGAAAGAAACTGAAAAATCTCGAAATTTTCGTTAATTCTACCCCATTATATATTTAATTATGTTGAAGCAGCGGCGTAACCAGGATTTGTAGACCAATGGACGAACTCCTCTTGTGTCGAAAAAAACCGATGGGCGAAATGGACAAAATTTTTATTGATAGACCAAAAGGTTTTTGGCCTAACAAAGTGTTAATAATATTAAAAAAAATGCCTGAGTTCATGTTGAGGATTTTTCCAATATGTATCTGTGCAGTACACGTGGATATTTTTCCTACGACCTACGTCATTTTACATCTTGGTTTTTCCATTTATGTTTCTACCTATACGTCACTGGATTTTTCCTTTCTCTTTTGTGCGTCTCTCTATATGTATATATATCAGCACATATATGTGTCTGTGTGTATCCTCTTGATCTGTGCTCTTTTTTCTCGTCTATTTTATCTCACCTTCTCTATCGTTACGTGGTTAGTGTTTTCCAAACAAAACCAAACTTATGTTCACCCAAACCTACAGTTAATATCAGGGTTGTCAGATCTTCTAAAAAGTCAGGAAAGTTTCTGAAATTTGAACATTTTTCCGATTTTTTTCTGATTTGTTGCCGAGTTCCAAACCTTTTTAGATAGTGGGCTTACTACGAAATTAATTACGACCATAACTCCTTAATACTATAGATCCGTATTGCGCTACCTTCTTTCCTTTCTTAATCTTCATTAGCTTTTGAGTTCTGCAGTCACTTACGAATACTTTTATATATTAGTAAATATTTTCATTACTGCACCCAGCTCGATGATTCCAGTCAAAGGATCCCACCGGAACCTGCAGGAACCTGCGCATTTTCCGGCGAATTCCCGCCGGTTCCCATGCAATCCCTGCCGGAACCGACCGGAAAAATACTAGAAAGGGGAGCAGTATTCCGGTCGGAAAGTCATCGTACAAGGAACCAGCCAATTACAAAACTTTTCCCTTCACCGGAAAACGTTGGAAAATCCATCGTATCCATCACGGAACACACCGGAAACACACCGTATCCATCATGGAACCCACCGGAAACACATCGTATCCATCACGGAATACACCGGAAACACACCGTATCCACCACGGAACATACCGGACACACCGTATCCATCACGGGCTACACAGGAGACATACCGGATCCATCATGGAACACACCGGACACGCCATATCCATTACCGAATACACCGGAAACATACCATATCCATCACGGAATACACCGTATCCATCATGAAATACACCGGAAACACACCGTATCCACCATCTAGGGTAGATCATGCCTCAAAAAGAGTCACCCAGACAAAGGAATATTGTCCTCCGAGGACTGCGAACTTTGTTTTTTTTGGAGAGTGAACCCTAACACTTGTTGCACCCTTATTTAGAGTGCGCACGATGTCTCAAACAGAGTCCTCGAGAGGTAGGAAAATCGTCCTCCGAGGACTGCGAACTATGTTTTTCTTCAATGTGAATCCTAACGCCCGATGCACCCGTATTTATAGCGCGGACACTGACTCAAACAGAGTCATCGAGAGGTAGGAAAATCGTCCTCCGAGGACTTCGAACTTTTGTTATCTTTTCAGACTGAACCCTAACACTTGGTGCACCCTTATTTATAGTGTGACCGATATCTCAAATAGAATCCTCGAGAGGTAGGAAAATCGTCCTCGGAGAACTTCGAACTTTGTTTTTTTTCCAGAATGTACCCTAACACCGGGTGCACCCTTATTTATAGTGGGGCGATGTCTTAAACAGAGTCCTCGATAGGTAGGTAAATCGTCCTCGGAGGACTTCGAACTTTGTTTTGTTTTCAGAATGAACCCTAGCACCTGGTGCACCCATATTTCTAGTGCAGACCATGTCTCATAAGGAGTCATGGAGAGGTAGGAAGATCGTCCTTCGAGGACTTTGATCTTTTTTTTTTTCACTGTGGACCCTAACACCCGCTGCGCCCGTATTTATAGTGGGGACGATGTCTTAAACAGGATCCTCGAGAGGTAGGAAAATCGTCCTCCGAACTTTTGTTTTTTTTTCAGAGCGAACCCTAAAACCCGATGCACCCTTATTTATAGTGGGGACGATGTCTCAAACAGAGTCCTCGAGAGGTAGGTAAATCGTCCTCCGAGGACTTCGAACTTTTGTTTTTTTTTCAGAGCGAACCCTAAAACCCGATGCACCCTTATTTATAGTGGAGACCATGTCTGAAACAGAGTCCTCGAGAGGTAGGAAAATCGTCCTTGGAGGACTTTGAAGTTTGTTTTTTTTTGGCTCGATTAGGACTGATTATCAGTGCGTAATTGTAGTTTGCGTATGTATTGTATGATACACAATTGAAGGTTTTAATTTTTGTTGGATGAAACTTGACAAAAATTGATCAATTAGAAAAAATTACTTTGAATTAATTTTTCAACAGCTAAAATTCGACATAATTTAGATCATAGTTCTAAAAAAGATTATTTTGAATATTTTCAGATTTAAATGGCTTTTATCGATTGAAATCGCACGATGTGTATTGCTTTTCGAATCAATTTTAATCGATATTGATTTCTTTTTTTTGGCTTTATTTTTCCTCATATATTACACGAATCGCATACAAGCAAACACTAAGAAAACAATCTCCGGCAAATGAAAAAAGACAGAAAAATCAGATTTGAATCAAGTTTTTTGAACTGAAAATCGAACACTTTGTCATTATTGACGTTAGCCGATTTTCGAAACTTAAAATCTCAAAGAGTTCCACCATTGTTACCAGATTTCAATTACAACAAAAAGTCACGTAGACTCACTTACGTATAAAGCACTGATTGCAAGCTTTCTTCGTTCTTGAATCTTATGTTAAATGACTTCGGTCAAATTTAATCTTTTATCAGTTTAATGCTATATTACTGAATAATCTTTGTCAGTTTGCTATTACCATTAATCGATTTTTATTGTATGTACTGAGGACAAAAGTACTGTTATTAAGATTCAAACACAAAACTTCAATGATTCATTAGTTTTTATTTACTCAGGTTAACAGAAAGCATAAAGTTTTCTCAGAACTCAAATCTAACAACTTCGACAAGTAGAAATCCCAATAGAAATTATTTAAAATCCAAATGATTCATTCGTATTAAAAGACGAATTAAAATTAATTGGACTATCATTATAGTATTCCTGTTCACGTCTAGAAAATCTGTT